ATCTGTCTATCTGTCTATCTGTCTGTCTGGGAATCTTCATCAGTCAGTAAACGAGAGGATTGAGTTACACGAGGAATGAGTTACACGAGGAATGAGTTACACGAGAGCGAGAGAGAGAGAGAGAGAGAGAGAGAGAGAGAGAAAGAGAGAGTCAACACTACAGCTCGTTCATCACCCAGTCCGTGTCAAATATAGCGACCATACAATAACTTCCTAAAGATTCGATGGATTGGTTTGGTTAGGTTAGGTTAGGTTAGGTTATGGTTAGATCCTTTTGGAGTACTAATTATTTTTAAGTAGAGGATAAAGACCTCACAGTAAATATGGGTCCTTACAGGCAGTGCGGATATAGTATACTGCAGGGTAAACGAAGCCATTATATTCTATACACACACGAGGAGAAAACATGGCCGGTACTCCACTCGCCTGCCTTCACTTCCCTAGATAGATAGATAAGTGGATAGACAGTTGAATAGATAAATAGATTAGACAAAGATTAATCAAACCGACATATTATCAATATCATTATTATTATCATTATCAATCATTATTACTATTATCATTATTATTCTCATTATTGCAATCATTATCAATATCATCATTATCATTATTAAGCAGTAGTAGTATCAATATTACCATTATCATTATCATCATTACCGTCATCATCATAATCACCACTACACCATCATCATCATCATCATCATCATCATCCCTTATTCATCAATCACCTCGAGTCATAGTGAAGTGTGTGTGTGTGTATGCAAGCATATATCAATGATCAGGAGTCAGTCAATAGGTGTAGTGGCTCACGACGACTTTCTAAAACTTGTAGCAAATCGTCCACCACCACCACCATCATCACACACACACTCAGAATTTAAGTGGGATTGACGGGGATTTTTTTTTTTTTTTGGGGGGGGGGGGGGTGGTTGTGTAATTTGGGTTTAGTGGTTTAGTTTGTTTGGATTTTGAATTTTTTTAGGGGGTATAATTCGAGTTTTTTGTGGTATAATTTGGGTCTTTTTTTTGGTATAATTTGACTGTTTTCTATAGAACATTTAACAAGTTTTCCCATTGTGTTTTTATGGTAATTTCTCACCATAAAAACATCAAAATTCAAAGGAAAATTTACAAAGGCGTTTTCCGCATTTAAAAACAAAATCCAAACTAGCGTTCACTTGCAAAACAATTGGTCAAATACACATAAAAAAAAGTGAACCCCACCTTTAGCGTTCACCTGTAAATAAGAAAAAAACGAAACAGGTAAAAAAGTGAAATCCAGGTTAGCGTTCACTTGTAAATAAGAAAAAAACGAAACGCGTAAAAAAGTGAAATCCAGGTTAGCGTTCACTTGTAAATATAAGTCAGAATTTGAGGAATTATTTGGCCAGCGATTTACGATCATCTCATCATATGTAGGAATATTAAAACGAGCTGGTGGGTCGAGGTGAAGAGAGAGAGAGAGAGAGAGAGAGAGAGAGAGAGAGAGAGAGAGAGAGAGAGAGAGTGTGTGGGGTGAGAAACAAAAAGTATATAAAGTATTAAAAGTACTTCTGTATAGTAAAAATCATCGAAAAATGTATAAAAAAAATATTAAAATTAGTTTACACAGTGCATTTACAACAGTACTTAACGATGTACAATACATCCAAAGCAGTAATACAAAACTACAAACTGTATTTATGTATTAGATAAATAACTACGTTGGTATTTTTTTTTCATGAAAGTATCGGTGAGAAAAGTTCTAAATGACTAAACTATTCCCAAATCTATTATAAGTGTCAGTTATAAAAATTGGGGTAAATAATTAAAGTAACTTAGATTTATATGATCAAAACGTAGATAATAAATTGAGTATAAGAATATCATTATGGAAAACAGTTAAAGTGTACTTAAAACACAGTAAAAGTTTGTAATTGTTTGGAAAAGTAAACACGATATTTTACGAGAGATATATGAGTAAAAGTTACCCGATCAAAAAAGTTTTAAAATTAACAAAAAAGTTTTAAATGTGTAGGTATCGGAACTTTGGGTATTGCCCCACACACACACACACACACACACACACACACACACACACACACACACACACACACACACACGAGTCTCTTAAAACTGTGAGGTATTCCAAGACAAGAGCTTGGCATTCATAGCAAGGTGGACAAGTGGAAGGTAAAAAGAAGTATTCGACTCTTGCCCCAGAACCTAACCTAACCTAACCTAACCTAACCTAACCTAACCTAACCTCAAGACACTAAACAAAGAAAAAGAAAATAATAAATTATGATCAAGAAAAAGAATGAATGTCTTTGTTCTTCACCACAGTGCAGAACAAAGACAGAGAACTGAAGAACAGACATATAACATACGCTAATATATGAAGGATGTAAACATACCTTGAATATATTAAGACTAACAATATTAAACCTAACCTCAGGCAGTAGGAGCTATCATGTCTTGTCTCTAGTTTACTCTCCCCACACTCTCCCCTCTTCTCTCCTCCCCACACACACTCCTCCCATCTCTCCCGTCAACCACATCCTCTCCTAACACTTTTACCCCATCCACTTTCTCTCCCCAACCCCTCACTCTCCCTTCCCCACCCCAGTCTCTCCTCCCAATCTCACCCTCTCCTCCCCAACCCCTCACTCTCCCCTCCCCAACCCCTCACTCTCCCCTCCCCACCCCAGTCTCTCCTCCCAATCTCACCCTCTCCTCCCCAACCCCTCACTCTCCCCTCCCCAACCCCAGTCTCTCCTCCCAATCTCTCCTCCCCAACCCTCACTCCTCCCCACCCCAGTCTCTCCTCCCAATCTCACCCTCTCCTCCCCAACCCCTCACTCTCCCCTCCCCACCCCAGTCTCTCCTCCCAATCTCACCCTCTCCTCCCCAACCCCGCACTCTCCATCCCACCAACATCTCCTCCCCATCTTCCTACCTTCATTTATCTTCTGTGTTCAATAATGAAATGCAAATCAATTCTACTATTACCATTCAAATTTTTGCCGGAAACGGGACCACCAAATACACACAATCGTAAAAATTGATAAAAATGACTGGCGTTCACTCTGGCGTTCAAGTTAGGAGTTACATCCGTTCACCAGTTGGTTACAAAGGAGTTCACTGGACTCTCACCCGTTCACTAGTAATACCTGGCGTTCATTAAGGCATTCCTCTCATTCTCATTCGTTCAATAAAATATCTGAGTTAATTTTCCCTTCCGTTCACCCTCTACTATTAGCGTATAATGAGTGGGCAAGGGTGGGTAAGGTGGGTTTAGAGAAGGTGGGGTAGGATGAGTGGTTACATGACGTACTGTAGGGTGGGCACGGTGGGTTTGGAGAAGGTGCAACAGGGTGGGTGGGTGGGTGGGTGGGTGGGGGTTGGTGAGGTACTATAGGGTTGGGAGTGTGAGTGGGTGATGTACTACAGGGTGGGCAGGGTGGGTGGATGTGGGTGGTAATGGCGCTGCTATACCAATTACTTATCTGGGATGCCGCCCATACGCCCAGCTGTTAGTGACTGTTAATGGGAGAAGATTATGGGCGTGAGGTGAGTGGGTGGTGGGTAGTGCCGGGATGGTAGTGCTATACATTGACCCTATCTTGCCCTTTTAATGACCTTGCCTATAACCTACCTATAACCTATCTACAGCCCAACCTATCCTACCTCTAACCTATCTATAGCCCAACCTATCCTACCTCTAACCTATCTATAGCCCAACCTATCCTACCTATAACCTACCTCTATCACATCTATAACCTACCTTTAACCTCCAAACAACCTACCTATAACCACCACAATCTATCTATAACTTAACCTATAACAATGGTCTTCGTGTAGTCAGGTACTGTAATTACACTTTTGTTATTTGTAATGTTTTTAAAAGCTTTTGTTAGAGGTTAGTGTTTGTTTACCTACAGCTCTCGTGTTATTGGTTGTTTAAACATCAAGGTTATGTTTTCAGTATTGTTTAATATACTGACATTCCCCCCCCCTCCATCAACTAACCCCCCCCCCTCTTTCCTCCCTTTCCCTTTTACCCCCCATCATCATCCTCCCCCTCTCTGTCATGCTTCTCTCACTCATCCCTCCCATTCCTCTCCACCCTCCTTTCTATCCCTCCCATCCCCCCCCTCACCCCTCCCTCAAATCCCTCCCCCTCCCACTACAGCGTTTACTACCAACTAAAATACATTTATTATCACTTTTATGTCAATTTAGAAAAGTGTACATTAGGTAAATAATAGTTTGGTGGTTGTTTTAGGTCACCTCTGATATTAGTGGTACAGGTGAGTGATGTTGGAGATATTTCCATTACGTTTAATATTACTGAGTTTTTGTGGAATTATTACAGTTTTATTCATGATTGTAATGTATCATCGTACTGAGTTAAGTCCTAGTAATATATTTTTTTATGATTTTATTACTTTTAAATAATAAATAAGATAGAAATTAGTAATATTTAGGGTATTAATAAACTTTAAGTGAGTGAGTGTGTGTGAGTGTGTGTGTGTGTGTGTGTGTGTGAGTGTGTGAGTGAGTGAGTGTGTGTGTGTGTGTGTGTGTAGTTACAGTATAGTCTCAGCTGAATTCCGACGCCATATTTATACCAACTAATCTACAAGGTCAGTCCGTTTGTCCCTCCGTCTGTAGCACACCACACAAACTACCCAACTAGGTAATTGTCCTGGTCATGCAACAACTCGACCCGTTTTCATGACTTCACCAACCAACACTGAGCACCTAAGTCACCGTCTTTAATCCTTAAGTAATATTAATTCTTTATCTTATTATTTATTCTCTTGTTCCTTTGTATCATTTATTTATTTATTTATTCACTTGTTTGTTTATCTCATCTGTTTATTTCTGTTTGTTTATTTCTTTCGTTTCATGTTTACTATAATTAATGTATGTATGTATGTATGTATGTATGTATGTATGTATGTATGTATGTATGTATGTATGTATGTATGTATGTCGAGCGGTCTAAGGTGGGAATGAAGTTTGTTGTGGTGTTCATCTCACGTTCACAGACCCCAGAGTTGTTCACCTGGCACGTTCACAGAGCCCCGGAGTTCACCAGGTAACTAGCAGCAGGTAGGTGATTAATTAACGTTTCACAGGTACAGTACAAGTTACCTGCAGATCTCCAGACCAGGTAATGTTATGCTTAAGACGCGGTTAACTGTGAACACTAACCAACCCAGCCTAGTTAACCAAATCAAATCGTCTGGCGTTAACCAAATCAAATATTAAAACAGACGTCCCCGTAGTGAAGAGGTTAAGGCTATACATCTTATTAACGTCCACCTGAATATTTGTCGTTAATTCCTTGAAAACCTAATCCATTTTTGCCTCTATGTGAAGTATATATAATTATGTGTTTGTATAAATCAGGATTATAATGTCGATATATTTATTTATTTTAGTGAGTAATGATTTCTTTTATAATATATAAAAGAAAATTTTTGTAGGTAAAATTATTATTATTATTATTATTAGTTGTTGTTGTTGTTGTTGTTGTTATCATTATTAGCTATCATTATTATTATTATTATTATCATCATCATTATTATTATTATTACCGTGTGTGTGTGTGTGTGTGTGTGGTGGTGTTCTTGGAGTCGGATTCACGGTCCACACAAATCCGGTTTCAAGAATCAAACACGCAGAGGTAAACAAACAACCTGGCTCTCTCTCTCTTATAACCATGACAATCAAACACGGAGGGGGCACTAGGAATTAATAATCAAAGCTATATATCATTTTCCGGGTTTCGTCTACTGTATAATTCTCGTTATTTATGTCAACTCGGTCAACTTTTGCTTGTGATTAAGACGAACTCCGAATCGAACCGAATTTCTAATGAATAACTTATGACGTTTTGTCGTGGGTTTTTTTTCTAGGGTGCGGGTCGGAGGGAGTCATGGGCGGTCGGGGGTGGGTCAGGGGGGAGTCAGGGGGAATCCAGGAGGTCAAGGGTATGTTAGGGGGTCATAACTCCTGTATTTATCACCTATCGGTCTGGGTCTTACGGATGATTAAAGCAAACTTAGAATTTTAACCAAATTATAATTAATAAGTTTATATAATTAACCAAAATCTACCTGGGGGGAGGGGGGAGGGTTAACGTCTACTTCTAAAAAGGGAGTTTGAACCTTACCGGCCTTCAGCATAAGGACGATAATGAACGATAACACTCACCAAGTACGCCTTTCATCCCTCGACTTGGGCGGCGCCTAGCTAACACGCAAACTCTAAAAATCCGTAGCCGATAAATCCTTAATTAAATCCTAGTGCCTGAAATCGGGAATCCCTTATACCGATGCTAATAATCAATGAGTCTTATACCTAAATTATACATCAGCATTATAGACGAACAATTATACACCTATATTTCAGGTGTAAGCTTTGGGCGTAGACTGATTGGCGGTGGTAGTGGGGGAGGGGGGGACAGGTCGACTCCCACACCTCGAGTACAAATGTTCGTATCCAGGATTTATACACACAAATTCCTCCTCCCTCGATACTTTAATGCTTATAAATAATTTCTCCTCTGACATGACCTTCTGTTAGTGCCATTTTGACCCTGGCACTCTCACCCTGGCACTCTTACCCTGGCACTCTTACCCTGGCATTCTTAACCCGGCACTCTTACCCTGGCACTCTTACCCTGGCACTCTTACCCTGGCATTCTGACCCTGGCACTGACCCTGGCACTCTGACCCTGGCACTCTGACCCCGGCAATCTTACCCTGGCACTCTTACCCTGGCACTCTTACCCTGGCTTTCTGACCCTAGCATTCTGACCCTGGCACTCTTACCCTGGCACTCTGACCCTGGCACTCTTACCGTGGCACTCTGACCCTGACACTCTGACGCTGGCACTCCCACCCTGGCACCGTGGCACCCAACTCCTTATATAACTTCGTGTGAGGTACAAAAAACCTTACAGTAGTCAACATAGTAATTACAGCCTAATTACCACTAATGACGAAGATTAATACAGCATAATATATAGGTAGAGAAGAAATATGATGGGAAAAAGATAAGTAGGAATTTCACATGATAAAAAAAATCAATAGTATACCCTGGAATGTCTCATTATAGAAAACGAGAGGGGGATTACTTGACTCTGTGAACTTACCTGACAGTCTGTGCATAACAAGGCTGTTAACCTGATGAATTTATGTGAGTTAACCTGAATTAACTCTTGTATTGCACTTAACACGTGTAGTGGATATAGCAAAGGTGTGTTTTTTTTATCTTTTTTAGTCTGAATAAAATCTATCGCTATGTTTGAATATAAATATTTTTTTTTCTATTTAGAAATATCGTACTGAAGCAAGTCTATTAATTTTACATTTCATATTAAAAAAAAACCTCTCTCTCTCTCTCACTCTATCTCTCTCTTGCTCTCTTGCTTGCTCTCTCCCTTCCTCTCTCTGTCTCATTCTACCCCTCTATCTCTTGGTCTGTCTTCTCTCTCTATCTCTTACCAATCATCTATTCCTTTCCTTAAAACAGATCAATATTCAACACTACACCAAGTTCTCTCTCCATCTTAAGATAATATGTACAGTAAGTCAACTTCTCCTTCGGGCATATTATCTCCCCCTGGTGTATCCATCACTTATTCACCAGCTGCCAAACCAAGCACCAAAACATTTCATCCATAATTCAAGAGCCAACACCTGGGAGCCTATACCTTAAAACGCTAAACTAAGGAACGAAAGTTATATTCATTACCTGTAGATACCAGATATATATATATACCTGAATAGCTAATTAACGATCAGTATATCTATTATAAGAAGCGGACACCTGATACCTGTAATTCTCATATGTTAATCAAATTTTCAAAAGGTATATTCATATTTCTGAGAAGTTTATTTTTGTATGTCGGAAATATATTAAAATGTATTCAGAAATTTGAGGAGTAATGTTTTTATAGGTATATTCTTAAGTGCCAATAACACTTCAAGACATATATTCATTATTTAAAAAAGTAACATCAGATTATTTATATATTCGAGCACTTATACGAACACTTATAAACAAAAGCACTTTATATACGAACACATACAGTATATACGAACACTATACGTACACTTATATACTCGAACACTCACTTATTCGAACACTTATATATTCAAAGTGTCAAAAAAACACTTTAAAAATATCACACCTGATCCTTACATTATCCCAGGTAGGTCAAGCCTTAAACACACACACACACACACACACACACACACACACACACACACACACACACACACACACACACACACACACACACACACACACACACACACACACACACACACACACACACACACACACACACACACACACACACACATCAGCGTCCATCACCAGGGCGGGCCAGACAATGGACAGATCTGTATAATAACACATCACACACATGTAAACTGACTGACCCAACAGAGGGGGAAAATGCAAGGTTTCTGAACGATATACCGCTCCTCCCTACCTCCCTCTTTCTTTCTCTCCTCCCTCCCTCCTCCCTCCCTCCCTCTTTCTCTTCCTCCATCTCTACCTCCTTCTATCTGTCCCTCCCCTCCATCTGTCTTCCAATCCCTCCAATCTTCCTTCCCTCCCTCCATCTCTCCTCCCCTTCCACCTTTCCCTCTATCCTCCACTCCCACCCTTCCGTCTCTTTCAGTCCCTCCCTTCCCCCTTCCCCTGCATTCATCTGTCCCTTCTCCCCATCCTTTTATCTTTCCATCCCTTCCTCTTCCCATCATTTGTACTCTCTTCCCTTGTTCCTTCCCCCCTTCTTCTTTCTTTCCTTCCACTTTATCATCATATTCCTCCCACCTCCTACCCTTCCTCACCAGTCCTCCTCCTCTCCCTACCCTTCCTCTCGCCTCCCCTAACCTTTCCACAATTAATATATGATTTCAGATACAGTACAGACGAGACACAAAACATACAATTATCACTGCCCTTGTAATCGTCTTTCCGCCGCCTCCCTACCGCTCGCTACCGCAGGAGGGGGATGGAGGAGGGGTGGGGGGGGGTGGGGTGAGGGGGAGAGACGTCTAATACTGCCCCGTCTCACCTTATCTCTCCCTCAGGTGAAAAGGATGAGATAGAAGAAAAAGAGATGGAAAGGGGTGAGATGGGAAGGGTAGGAAAGGGAGAGGGTTGGAATGATAATAATAATAATAAGAGGAGTAGTAGTAGTAGTAGTAGTAGTAGTAGTAGTAGTAGTGTTCCAGAGTATTTCATGAGTGTGGCTACGTCGGTCACTTAGGATTTGAACCACTCATCCACCACACCCCCTCACACTTTAACCATCATTCATCCACATGCACCCACCGCCCACATTAACCACCACCACCGCCTACATTAACCACCACCCACATTAATCACCACATGCAACCACCACCTACATTAACCACCATATCCAGCCACCGCCCACATTAACCACCACACCCACCAGTGCCCACCCACCGCCCACATTAACCACCGCCGCCCACAGTGACCAGCGATAACTACCACACATTCTAAGCAATAAACTTCATCACGCGATCACTGACATTTTTTTGAGATTGAAATTCCTGGTCAGAGAACTTTCCATAAAACCTCTTTTGAACCTCAGGGCGTGGTGATTGAACCTCGGGCGTGGTAATTGACCCTCACGGCGTGGTGATTGAACCTCGAGGCGTGGTGATTGACCCTCAGGGCATGGTGATTGAACCTCGGGCGTGGTAATTGACCCTCAGGGCGTGGTGATTGAACCTCGAGGCGTGGTGATTGACCCTCAGGGCATGGTGATTGAACCTCGAGGCGTGGTGATTGAACCTCGAGGCGTGGTGATTGAACCTCAAGGCGTGGTGATTGAACCTCAAGGCGTGGTGATTAAAACAAAGAAAAACAAATAAGAAAAACCTGAATAAAATAAACAAGAAATAAGAAGAAAAGAAGAAAAACGAAACAATATGAACAAAGAAACGAAGAATAAAAATAATGACGAAATAAATAAAGAAATAAAACAATGAATAAAAGAAATATTGAGGAGGATAATAACACATGACAATTAGCTTGTCTGTCTGTCTCCCCGTGTCTGTCTGTCTGTCCGTGTCTGTCTGTCTGTCTGTCCGTGTCTGTCTGTCCGTGTGTGTTCGTGATGATGAAATTTGTCTATGATGAGAATAGGTAAACTTGTTATTCTATTAGTAAACAAAAACACCAAAACAACCCATTAATAGACAAACAAAAACAGAATTTATAAACAAAAAACAAATTTTCACTAATACAAAAACGGTCGGAAAAACACATGAGTCGCCCCCCAAAAAAAATAAAAAATGGTCGCTAACAAAAACAAACTTTACCATAAACAAAAACACACAAAACAAAAACAGACAAACAAAAAAACCCTCCAGACTGGTTATTTTGGGCGAGTGTATTTGTTCGTCCCGGTAGTGGTAACATAATTGTCTTGTCAACAGGGAAATTGTCAGGAAAATTAATCATTAAAAACGGTGGGTCCGTTCTTGATGGCTTTATGGTTCATGATGACAATTGTTTCGTTATACGGGAGTCGTTAAGGGTAGTGGTTGTCATAGCAAGGTCGTCTGGGGTTGTTTTATCGGGAGTTGTTTAGTTTATGGTCGTTATATCCGGGTTGGAAGGGTTTTGTTCGTTATATCCAGGTTGGAAGAGTGTTTTTTTCGTTATATCCGAGTTGTAAGGTTTTTGTTTGTTAAATCCAGGTTTGAAGGGTTTTGTTCGTTATATCCAGGTTGGAAGGGTTTTGTTCGTTATATCCGGGTCGCAAAGGTCGTTATATCCGAGTTATTAGGGTCTTGATGTCAGGCCTATTACATAACAGGGTCGTAATGCCGAGGTCGTTAAACTAAAGTCGTTATACTGCAGTTAGTCGTTATAGCGAGGCCGTAGTGAGTCATTTCACCTGTTATAACACAATTACCTGTGATATCGGGATAGTTCGTTATATCAAGGTTGTTATACTAGTGTCCAGCATATACCCGTCAAATATATCCACACACACACACACACACACACACACACACATTACCAGCTCAGACACTCTGTTTGTCCAATAATTAATAGTGTTTTTGACACCGTTTTGCATTATACACAAAGGCTGTTGAACTATACGGTGCACCAAGACCACACGGTGCACCAAGACCACACGGTGCACCAAGATTACACGGTGCACCAAGATCACACGGTGCACCAAGACCACACGGTGCACCAAGATTACACGGTGCACCAAGATTACACGGTGCACCAAGTTTACACGGTGCACCAAGACCACACGGTGCACCAAGATTACACGGTGCACCAAGATTACACGGTGCACCAAGATCACACGGTGCACCAAGTTTACACGGTGCACCAAGTTTACACGGTGCACCAAGACCACACGGTGCACCAAGACCACACGGTGCACCAAGATCACACGGTGCACCAAGACCACACGGTGCACCAAGACCACACGGTGCACCAAGATCACACGGTTCACCACGACCACTCCTACCACCACCACCACCACCTGTCACCTATTACTGCCGTGTTTTGACCCCTACTAATAGTCCATGTTGAGGTGAAATTACCGTGTGTTTTATGTGTGAGTAGTTACAGCAGTATTCTTAATGGATCACGTGAAGGTTAGGTTAGGTTAGGTTTTGCTAGGGTAAGGTAGTGTTAGATTAAGTTAGGTTAGGGTAAGGTCGACTTAGGTTAGGTTAGGTTAGGTTAGGTTAGGTTAGGTTAGGCTAGGTTAGGTTAGGTTAGGGTAAGGTCGACTTAGGTTAGGTTAGGTTAGGTTAGGTCCATGGAATTTAATCATCAAATGAAAAATAAACTAAGTGTGTCTAATCTTCAGGTGAGCACCTCCTAACAACTCAAACAGTATGTGAACGATATACAATACTGGGTCAAGCGTCGTAAATACACTACATTAATATACACCCAATTCACCGTAAAAGCATGGTGTATTTACCTTTACTTAATATTAACCAAAATACTGTATATATATAAAAACATTGTGTATTTTACTTCCATTGGTATTAACACACTTTTGGCAACAGTGAATATAATATTTATTTTGAAGTGTTTCACCAGAGTTATTCCTTGGGTTAATATTTTACTCAATTTAAACATTTAGCAGTGGATTGATTTTAACAGGTTAATTTAGTTTTAGTTTTAAGTTAATATACCTGAGTGATCAATACATACATACATACATTACATACATACGAATAAGATTATGTATGTAAAATTGTATAGGTATTTGTATGTAATTCAATATATATCTATACACCACACACACACACACATATGCATTTCTAAAACATAAAATTAAAAAAAATTAAAAATAAAGGTAACTAGAGGTTCTAATCTTCGTTAATTACAAACAATTATTCCAGGTGTGTGCTACTTTATTTACAATTTCCTCTGAGTCAACAATTTTCGTCCCTGTGACTACGGAAATACGCGCCACAGATTTCAACAATATCCCTAGTAGTTTTTTCCCGTGTGTGATTAAGTGTACATATTAATCCCCAAAGATAACATCACCCTAGGGAAAAAATAATAGGGGGAAAAATTCATGTCTTAAATCTCAAGGTAGTTTTCTTTTTCTTTTTTTCATTTCAGTTCTTTTTTTTTTCAATCCAATTTCAAGGACAAGAAAAACGCCTAATTATAATCCTGAAGAATATCAACCATTGGGGCAAGGGATAGCATGGCGTTGGTGATGTTTGTAATTCTCATTTTCTTTTTGATGTTGCGGGGACAGAAGAGACAGGAGGAGAGGGAGAGAGGGAGAAGAAGAAGGAGGGAGAAGGAAGGGAGAGAGAGGGGGAGGGTTCTACGTTATAATTAGAGGCGACGCTACTCTCCCTCCCTCTTAATTCCTCCTGCTTTGTGTCTATGGAAAATTACATTTGCTGGGCCATTTTCTGCGCCGTGAGGTACAGTAAGGAGGAAGAGAGGGGGACACGAAAGGGATCATCCAACCCTTTGTAATCAGGGAGGGGAGTAGGGGTATCTCTCCTACCTACGTACCTACCTACCTATTTACCCCTCTCTACCTACCTTCCCCTCCCTGCCTTCACTTCTGGCCAGGGAGGGGAGGGGAGGGGAGGGATGGAGGAATGGGTAGTGATGGAGAGGAGAAGAAGAATGAGAGGGATAGGTGGCTAGGGAGGGAGGAGCAGGAAGGAGTGGGAGGGATGAGTAGTGATGAAGGACAAGAGAAGGGTGATGGAATAGAGAAATGGAAGGGTAGATGGATGGTGGAAGAGGGAGAATGGAATAGAGAGATGGAGGGATAGATAGAGCGCCAGAAACAAACACGACGGACATTAAACTCAAGCTAAGAATTTAAAGGTCAGGATTCTCACCAAAGCGCGCGCGCACACACGCACACACACACTTGGGCTCTACCCGCAAGATACACTCAAGACAAAAGACAATCTCAAGTGCATAGACTCAGGGCTTAATGCAACACAGTGACACGCCTAGTTTGTTCTCTCAGATGACAGACTAAAATAAAACTAACCAGTACGCCTTCTGCATTAACTAACTAACTAGCTAACTGACTGACTGACTGGCTGACTGACTGACTGGTCCTCCTCCTCCTCTCTACACCAACACTCGTAATATTGTGACCTAAAAATCCCCCCTCTCCTGACCTGACTGATGGATATTTACACCGTTTGAGGGATTTTATTCTTCACATGTCATTCAAAAGAGCCAATGACAAATATTCAATCGTCCTTTTTGTTCAGCGTCGGGAAAGAATGTAAAGAAGCAACATACCTCGAAAAAGTAATACTCATGGGGGAATAAAGTGGGAATAAAGTGCTGCCATTCTTTATTCCCTGGTCTTGTACTCTACACGGGTATAAGTGTGACAGACGGGGGCATTACAGTGCTATAAACTATGTGTGTTCGTCCATGTGTCTGTCCGCCAGGTGTGTCATAGTCAGGGTTCAGGTGATTAATTAAACACTTACAATGGCCATAAGCTTCTCAATACATCATAGGCACGTACACACACACACACACACACA